GCTTTTTTCTTATTAATGCAGAAAAATGTAACTTTAAAGGTCAATTGCAGCTTAGATAACTTTACGACCATTTGTTCTGACAGTAGTGGTCTGGTACAAAGAATGACAGAAGCCGATATACGCCCTCGTGGCATGAGAACACTTAACTACCAAGATCTTATCATTATTCTCCTCACAAGCTGCTACAAATTTCCTCGTAAATTAGTTAGGAGAATTTGGTGTTTAATCAAGACAACAAATTCTATCTGATAAGCATGAGAAATCTCATTATCTATACATTATGTATGGATATTATAGAGAGAAGTTGCATGTTAATAACTTCAACTCTTATCTTCCGGTAATCTTTTCTTTACGATAGTCGTTGCATGACACCTTACTAAGATATTCGAGCTCTAATACTAAGAGAGAAAACCCTGGAGATTATAAAATTGGTGAAAGAATCCATAATTACACTTTGGAAATCATTTATTACGCAGTAGATATTTTAAGAGATAGACCATTTTACGTAAAAGCTTTTAAATTGACACCTGCACTGCTACCTCTCTCTCATTACGACGAAGTGACACTGGTCTGGGACCATATTGGTCACGCGCGTCCTTAATGGGAGCCATTCTATTATCTAACGTATTTTAGAACGCATGAAGTCTTTACTTAGGTTGTAGTTCGTCCCTTAAGATTTTCTTGACTCTTGGTAACTGTGAGGCTCGATTTCCAGCCGCTGTTCGGGAACCGGAGCCCGCGCTCCTGCTCGAAGAGGGAGTAACGAAAAAGGCTGGATCCGAGTGAGGGGCGGAAATCGAGCCTTAGTTAAATTTGGGTGATTGTTCATCCCTGTTGGAGAGCCAGGGAAAAAGCTGCGATATCGATGAAGATTGCGCCGAGCTGTCCGGAACGTGACTACCTTCATATCATACTAAAATACCGACAGCTTTTACAATAAATAGCAACAGTTTGTATTAGGATGAAGTGAACCTGAGAGAAGATTTAATTGGGCTTCAGACCGGCTCGGACCAGAAAGTGGTCTTAAGTATAAGCGTAACGATTTCTTCCTTACATAAATTTAAACTTTTCCTACCAAATATGAGCGACTGAAAGTCGGGACCGCCTATTGTTATCATTGAATAATCTTAACCGCATTTAACCGAAAAAAAAAAAAATTAAAAAAGCCTAAAAAAAAGCCAGTAGTCGTACTCAACACTTTAACAACAAAACTAGGATTACTTTCTCGTATGGATTACTTCCT